ATTAATGGGCATGCTGATGGACTACTTATGGGTTAATTAGCTGGTGATGCTGATGTAATTTAATGTTTGATATGGCTTTAGGCCAATGGAAAGGAAGAAAACTTAAGGGTAGGCACACACTCACAGTTCTGCCTCTCTTTGTAGTTGAGTGTGTAATAACGATGGAACAGCATAAAGGAGAATAGCGGGGCTATACCAGCTGTGGTTGTGGGCTTTGCTCCTCTTCTCCACAGTTTTGAACAGCAAATCACTTCCTGGCATACTCTGTCAAACGTAAGTCAATTCATGGTGATGTTTTCATATACCTGCCATACCATTTGTTTTAAAACAACAATTAATATAGAGAGTCGTGATGACTTAAACACGCGTGACCTCAAGGCCAAACTAGCTCTGATACCCCGACGTAAACCAAATTGATTCTAATAACTCGAGTTGTTGAGAGAGGTTCATGTATGATACTTAACCACTTTCTTACATTATTCAATTGGTGGCCGAAGCCAAATTCGAAAGAGGAAGTTTCAAATGTGGTTGAATGGAGAAGTTACATACATGGTTGTTCTCATTGTGAACCTTTTGAAACACGAATATTGGATTTGCAAGTTCATGCGACTCAAGGATAGATGAAATTTTGGTTTGAGAGTGAGTACTTTCGTGGTGGTACGTATTAAACATGGGAACCAATCAATCTTAAACCAACTTATGAAGTCTAAAATTTAATTTTACAACATAGATAGAAATGAATCGAAATTCGAAACGTGTGGTAATAAACATGTGAAAATGGGTAAATGGCCCTTAATTACACACATCCCCTTGGACCCTTGCCCACTATTAATGGCGACCTACCACTAGGGGTGGAAATCGGTACGATATCGGTATCCCAGTACCAAATACCGAAATACCGAATACCGAATTACACCCTAAAATCAATCCCAATCCCAATCCCTAAATAATTTCGGTATCCCAATCCCAATCCCTAAATAATTTCGGTATCCCAATCGGTATTATCGAATACATAATTAATTACCTTTGCAATTAATAATTAAATAAATAAATTAGATTTTATTGTTTAATTTAGGGCATAGAGACTAAGCAAATAGTCTTGAGTTGCCTAGAGCTAACATCTCAAGTTCTTGTAATTGGTAATCTTTAATTTGACGAATTTGAGGTTGAGAGACGACTAATATTAGTGTGAAATAGTGATGTAATGATCTATTTATAATTAAATGACACTTTTGGTGGTTGAGGGTCGCGTAGTAGTGAATGAGAGAGTCTAGTTGAGAGGATAAAATACACAGTAGCTTATATTTCGGTATTGATCGGTATTTCGGTATATACCGATCCCAATCCCGTAATCCCTAATACCGAATAACAATTGAAATTCAATCCCAATCCCAATCCCATAAAATAATACGTGTATTCGGTAATACCAAATATAGACAAATTCGGTACGGTATTCGGTATATCCCAAATACCGGTACCAAACTTCCAGCCCTACCTACCACCTTCACAACCAATACCTAAACCCTCACAATACAATTAGGTTACTTCCATATATAGCTGCAGCCTGCAGGCCACCTTAATTAACATTCATCTCATCAGAGTCAAATTATAAACACAATGCGACATACGGTTGCCGTTTTCGAATTTTTCTTGCTATCTGCCTCTCTTCTTTGTTGAGTGATGACATTTGTGCTTCCTGAGTTGGGACTTGGGACATCGTCGGTGTTGCTGAGATTTGTTTTCATGTCTTATTCATCTATCTTGTGGAGAAGACAATTTCTTATGTCATAAAGTTAGAAACGCCTACTTCGTTGGAAGATATTTTGTGTGAGTTCCACTAGTAGTTGTCGAGTCAATCATCACGTACACTTCATCCGGTCCAATGTTGGATCGTTTGCATCAAGAATCGTCTTTGAGATTGTATCGAAAAAGTTAGCGATAGGGTATTTTAGGCTATAACGTGATTCAACCATTTCATATTGTTAAATACCGTCTACCAGTTTCGCTTCGGGAGAAGGTTTTTCAGATCGAACTGACGGTACGATTTTGTCAATTCTTGGTTTGCACTCATATTTGCAACGATTTTGTGTAGCCAGCAAATTCATATGAGTGACATATCCAGATTATTTTCGTTTTATGTAAACTATAGTACGCCAGCTCAATTCGTTCTCGGTGATACTAATAATCGAAGATCAATGGTCTAGCCACTTATGATTAGTTTAGGTCACGACGATGAGATTTCCCTTTACGTTTTCGGTACATACCAATTGATGTTTATGCATTTTGGAAATACTGAAAACTTGAAAACAGGGGGCCGAACCCACTACCTTGTTTACCAGTATCATTCGCATCCCAAAGTATGTCAAAACTTCAATAGCACCATTAAAAAACTTTCAAATTGAATGTTACCTTCATGAAAATACATAAAATCTATGTCGACGAGAATGTCATTCTCCTTATAGTCGCGAGAGATGTGTACTACTAATCCAATATCTGTAAAGATACTGCAAAACCATAAAATCTATGTCGACGAGAATATCATTCTCCTTGTAGTCGCGAGTGATGTGTACTACTATCCAATATCTGTAAAGGTACTGCAAAACCATAAAAGCAATCCTGACATATAGAGGTAAGTGCTGCTACCTTCCCATATCAAAAGCCTAGGTGCATTTCAACGTTAACCTACACCCCTACCTACCCATTTCAACGTTAACCTTCCCATCACCCATCAGCCAATCCCATCCTTCCACCTCACCCCCATCCGCCATTACCACATTAACTCCCCTCTTCACCTGCCACCTCTCTCCCATCCGGCCCCGGGCCCCGGCCAATATATATTATATATAACTCCATATCCCCACCCACCCATCAATCCATTCATCTCCATCTCCTCCCTAGATCTCGCCCCAATATGGTTTCCGACAGCCCGGTGTACAACGTGAAGATATCCTCCGTTGGGCCGGGCCGCGCCACGGTGGGGGAAGTGGTCCAGCACTACGGCGGGCTGGATCTGGCCATGAAGCTCCACTACCTGCGAGGTGTCTACTTCCTGGGCAAGGCCGCCGCGGAAGGGATGACCACCACCCACATTAAGGAGTCCATGTTCCTCCTCTGCAACGACTACTACATGACCTGCGGCCGGTTCCGCCGCTCCGTGGGCTCGGGCCGCCCCTACATGAAGTGCAACGACTGCGGGGCCCGGTTCCTGGAGGCCCAGTGCGACTTGACCTTGGAGGAGTGGCTGGACGGATACTTCTCCGGGAATGCCAGCTGGAATATTGGGCAGCTCGTTTACCATCTCCCCGTTGGGCCTGAGCTCTTCTTCTCCCCTCCCGTCTATTTGCAGGTCAGTACGTTGTAATTACTGTTCAGTCCTCGATGTTTATCGGAACCGACGTAATTAGACCGTATGAATGATCGTAATAATAGTGATGGATGTGACAGTGATACTTGAATGGGAGCTGTGGGGAAAAGTGCAATTAATGCTAAAGCATCTCCGTTAAACTCTGAAAGAGATGGAAGCAACTAGCTAGCTTAGCTCCATCTTTATTAATTGGGCGACTAGTCGGCCGAAATTAATTAAGCTAACCGCTATCGAAAGAAGTGTTGTCATACTAAGAGATAAAACACTTTTGATGTATCTAGTAGGTTAGGGTAAATATTTAGTGAGATGGGTTAAGTTAGGCATGAAAAAACAACTCTATTTGATCTGTGAATATTCATCCAAATCTGATCTCGTTGAGTGAAATAAAATTAGAATTGGAAGGATTTTTAATGGGGTATGAGTTAAACTCGAATCTGAGTAACTGGGTCTTCCTCTCCGCAGCTGGTTTGTGGTGATCACTTTGCACATGACATGAATGCCCAAAAACAGGCCAACACTAAAAGAAGTAGGCCAGCCCATTATACCTTTGCCATTTTGAACAAACTACTCATAAATGATGCCTGCCTGGCTTACTGCCCTACATTTATTTCTCCATTTATATTTTTCAAAGATGCTAATTTTTTTTTGCAGGTAACCAAGTTCAAGTGTGGAGGAATGTCATTGGGCATGAGCTGGGCCCACATACTCGGAGACATCTACACAGCTACCGACTTCATCAACAACTGGGGCGGCTACCTCGCTGGCCACAAGTCCAACGGGCCCTTCCACCAACAAGCCCAGCCCATCCTCAACCGCCCGCTCCTCCCAACCAGCCCAAACGGCCAAACTCCTGAACCGCTCTCCCTCAAACGGGTCGACCCGGTTGGCGATCACTGGGTTACCGCCAACAATTTCAAAATGGAAACCTTCTCCTTCCGCCTAACGGCTACCCAGGCGGCCCAAATCACAGCCCGCCAAACCCACAACAAGAGCAAGAAACCCTCCCTCTTCGAATCGATCACCGCCGCGATATGGAAATCGATTGCGAAGATTCGAGAAGGAATCAACGAGCCGAAGAGAGTCACCATCATCAGGAAAACCAATTCGTCGCAGGATCCGATGACCGGCAACAACCGGATCGCGATCGGCTCTGTTTCGGCCGAGTTCTCGGTCGCCGATTCTGATTCAGGGGATCTGGCCGGATGGCTGTCGGATCGAATTGGAGAGCTCGCCGACGAAAAGAATCTGATCGATGAGGCGGTGGAGAGGGACGACGGGGCGTCCGATTACGTTGTGTACGGGGCGAATTTGACATTCGTAGATTTGGCAGGGGCGGATTTGTACGGACTGGAAAGCAACGGGCAGGGGCCGGAATTCGTGTGTTACGAAGTTCAGGGGGTTGGGGACGAAGGCGCGGTGGTGGTGGTTCCGTGGCCGAAGAGCAGCGACGGGGAGGGAAATGAAGGGAGGGTTGTGACGGCGATCTTGCCGGAGGAAGAAGTCGAGAAGTTGAAGTTGGAGCTCAGGAAGATCGGGGTGCTGGAAGAAGATTAAGTTCGCGGTGATTTAAGTCAAATCGATGTCAAGTATTTTGTTACGCTTTAGTGTCGTGATTGATAACGTTATATGGTACGTTTCTGTGGTTAGTTACTCTTGTCTCTGTGTATTCACTCCCTATTTATTGTAATTTGATCTGCAAAGTGTACTTTCGGTTGCTGATTAAAGATGATGAATATATATTGCAGCTTGCAAACATTGTTCTTCTCCTAAGTACCATGTCTGCAACTGTCGGAGGAGTACTTCTAACCCAATTCTTATTCAATCCAAAAGTTAATAAAGGAGTCCAAATAGTTCCAAGTTCCAATAGGGATGGCTATTTGATCCAGACTTTTTGGTTTTAACCAAAACTGGACCGTATAAGTAGGACCGGAACCGGATAGCAAACAATTCAATCTAATCTTCGGGTCTAGATTTGAGGTAAAAACCCGTTTGGGACCGGACCGAAAACCGGATAAAGACCGAATAAGAGAGCCCAACACCCAAAATTTATCCTCCTCACCCTTTCAGGCCTTAGGCCACTCAAATCCCCCCTCAGGTAACTCAAATCCCCACAAGTTCAATCTAAAATCAAGACCAAATTGGGACCGGACTATATCCAATCTAATCTTTGGTCCTTATATTCTCGAAAAGACCGTACCGGAACTGGATCAATTTTGTCTAATTTAACCGGATCGGACCGTATAACCACCCTAAGTTCCAACCCTGGCGGCTGGTAGCAATAGAGACCCTCCCGACTCATAAGCAGTCAACCCAGATATATAGTGTCATCCGATTTTACACGGGCCAGCTTTTTACGTATGAATTGACTCCCTCTCCACGGATACGTGAATTCCTTTATGTTTCTTCTTCTTCTTCCCAAGTAGGGCTGGCAAACGGTGCGGTCTGGTTCAGACCAGACCTTATATACGGTTTATGGTCCAGATCGAGAAGCTGAAGTATAGACCATAGACCAGACCACAGACTATACGATCCGGTCCATACCACGCCTGTGCGGTTTGGTTCGGTCTGGTCTGGTCCAAATAGACCACACTCAACGAAAAATGAACAATTTGTTTAGTCAACCACACAAAAAATTGAACCAATAACCAAGAAAAATAATTGTTATTTGCCTTAAAACATTAGGAAAAATTTCCATTGTACACATGTTTTTTAAAAAAATTCTCAAAATACACACGTTATGAAAATATTTCCCAATCTACGCATGTTTGGGCCTTCACCGCGTCTGAGCAAGGCGGTGATTGCATCACCGCATTAAAGAAAAGCGGTGACTGCATCACCGCATGAGAGAAGCACGGTGATTGCATCACCGCTGTAGAGGAAGGCGGTGATTGCATCACCGCTCTAGAGAAAGGCGGTGAAGGCCTGACCTGCGTCAAATCTTTAAAAAAACATAACTTTGTGCTCGGTTATCCGTTCGTGGCGAAATCTTTTTTGATTCCGCATAATTTTTCGAGATCTTGCAAGCCGCAAACGTTTGCGGCTTGCAAGATCTCGAAAAATTATGCGGAATCAAAAAAAATTTCGCCACGATCGGATAACCGAGCACAAAGTTACGTTCGTTTAAAGTTTCGACGCAGGTTAGGCCTTCAGCGCGGCCGTTTAATGCGGTGAAGCTATCACTGTCTTTCTCTACAGCGGTGATGCAATCACCGTCCTACTCTAATGCGGAGATGCAATCACCGCCTTGCTCTAACGGTGAAGGCCCAAACTTGCGTAGATTGGGAAATATTTTCATAACGTGTGTATTTTGAGAATTTTTTTAAAAAACATCATACTTTGAATGATCAATTTGTAAAAACATATTTGCAAAAACATACTTTGAATGATCAATTTGTTCATGCTGTAAATAATTTTGTCCAAAAACATGAAAAAGGCTATGGGTGACTCACATTTATAGAGTGATCAGTTTCGAATCACTTTATGTTTTCGAGTAATTAAGATTGCATGTGTGGTTGCAATTGCACTCGAACATATCATAATTATCAACGAACACCGATATATTTGTTCAATTGTATGAAATTGAAAATTTTGATTCCCGTTACATCCAATCAAACCAACTCTCGTAGAAAAGAGAAAAGACAAGTCATTATGGTTTACTTTTGAATGAGATTTCAAAACTTCTCTAAGTTTGGATCATGAATATACTACCGCACATTTTTAGTTTAGAGTTCGTATTTCGAAACTCTTGTACAAACCACATATTTTCAGTTTATGCAATGATACGAACCTTGAAAAGTTTATGCCATGATCCAGGCTGAAAATGTGTGATTTATACCGGTTTGAAGAACTCAATTGGCAACAAGGGATCCTGCTAAATGCTAGTCGTGGAGCTAAAACTGATAATCTTAAGGCGATCTCGTAAACAAGGCCGTTCACAAGTCACAACAATAAAATCCAACACAATCGTCATTTCAGGGAGCGGATCAGGTCAGTAATCTTATGGTGAGTAACCATGTGTAACCCGTCTATATCAGCATGACATCAGCATCCCGCTCTTTCATGGAAAGCCTTTTAACTTTTCCCCTTTAATCTTTAACAGACGATTTCTCTATCGTTTTAAGTCGAAATTTAATTTTTTTTTTTTGCATAGATAAATCAGATTAATTGTGATCCTTAAAGTGATACCCACTTTGATATATTTTTAGAACAAAAAAAAAAAATAAGTCATTTTTTTAGTAGTCAACATCATATTGTATGCTCCTATTTAATATCATATGGTAAGAAAGCGTAACATGATGATCTCAAATCTTTTTCCCACTCCCGAATTTTATTCTCACTACCTTTCTTTTCCTCCTCGAAAACAGGAAATACAAGTACACACCCTATTCGATTTTCTGATTACTTGGGTAATGAAAACCCTAATCACTTTCTGGAACGAGCCTCCTCTGAAGGTAGGCCATAATTGAAATTAATTGGGGAACCAAAATTGGTCACTACTCATCAATGAGAGGCAGAAGAGTCAAGCCCGATGAGGTGATGGACACTTTTAAAAAAATAATTATGACCGGTGCCATTTTTTCCTCCATCTCACGGCGAAGAAGAGAGCGATGGCCTGAATTGGGTGGACGGAGGGAGGAGGCTTGTCCTCATCAAACTAAAGTTAACCAACGACTTCATCGTCATTACCGTCACCATCATCCTTCATATCATTCATTTCATCCACTAACACGACATCAAAAGAAAAGAGCAGCTGTAACCCTCCGACATCCACCACCCACTTGCCACCAGAGCTCTGTTTCTGATGCATTGACGGATCAAGCATCGCAGCACAAGAACGATAAATAAACTAAAACAACTAAATTAAGGGTTTTCTTCTTCATTGATTGATTAAAACACAGAAACAAAGTACATATTTATAGTAGAACCGGAAAACCTAATGACTTACTAATCCTACAAGGACTCGGTAACTTAATCCTAAAGAAACTACTTTAAACATTTAATTAATTAATACGATTCTTAAACAATATCTAAAACTGACTCAGAAATTAATAATAATAATAATAATAATAATGGTAATGGGTGGCCGAATATGATAATGCATCAGTTTCATGTAGGGCTGGGAAAATAGACCAGACCGTTAGAAAAACCGTGGTCCAAACCGTACCGCACAGTTTGGTCCGGACCGTAGACCGTGAAGTATGGTCTGGTCTGGTCCATGGTCTGTATTATTTTATGATTTGATCTCTTGGTCTGGTCTGGTCTAGACCGCGGTTTACCGGACCAAACCGTAGACCCAACTGACTTGTCAATACGTGTTAACAGCCCATTCGACCACTCTCCAAACTCCCACAACGACACCCAAGTCTCAACCTTAATTTTGTGAATCTCTTCCCTCCTTCATTCACAACCACATTTAACCACAGAGTAGAGATAATCGTGTCTCCATATGACATTATGGTGCAAGTCGGGATGCTTTTACTTTGTATCTTTGTTATGTACTAAGATTTAGAGTATCAAAATTATTCATGCATGTTAGGATTAATGTTTTAAGGCAAATAACAATTATTTTTCTTGGTTATCGGTTCAATTTTTTGTGTGGTTGACTAAACAAATTATTCATTTTTCGTTGAGTGTGGTCTATCTGGACCAGACCAGACCAAACCAGACCGCACAGGCGTGGTCTGGACCAGACCGTATAGTTTGTGGTCTGGTCTGTGGTCTATACTTTAGCCTCTCGGTCTGGACCGTAGACCGTATATATGGTCTGGTCTGGACCAGACCGCACCGTTTCCCAGCCCTAGTTTCATGGCGGTTTTTTTCTCTCCTACTAACCTACTTCTCACCTCTCTATAATTCCTCTCTAGAATACGAGAACTTTAATCCCCCTATTATATTACTTTTGACCTAGAAAAAGAGGAGTGTTGCGGTTGCTGCACTTTTTTTTCTTCTACTTTTGATCATTGTATTGTGTCTATATTTGATCATCTATCACCCTCTCTCAAGAAAACATGAACAAAGCTTTCTAATTTCCTTCAATATCCGGAAATCAGGAATTAGCAAACTCCGAATAAGAAATAATACTCATTTTTATGTAAGATCTAGAGTTATTTAGATAACATACAAAATTAAAGAGTGTTACAAAACTCCCTACAATTTATTAGTAGAAAAGTAAAACCATGAACATCCTAATATGAAGTACTGGGATCCAATATTATGAGTTGTGTACAATTATTGTGATATTTTGTGTCCTAGTCTACCGTCGATGAGATCCGCACTATATTTTTAAGCTACTCAACTTAATACTTGTCAATTCAATAAGAAGATTTAACGGTCCACCTTCTAGACTATTTTGATTTTATTAAGTTGTTCCTTTCCATCGGGTATAAATCTCAAACGCTCTATAACTTAAAATAATGGGTCTATATCAGAATGCGTTAGGGTGGTAACTGAAATTTTAGTAGCCACCATGGCTACATCTGTATCCACCATTTATTTTATTTATTATTATTATTTTTTTAATCTCACGGTTAAGATTGTTCCAGGGTAATTTTGGAAACAAAAAAGAGACCACACCAGATTATTATATATATTCTACCCAAACCCTACTTCTATCCTCCCTCCAATCAAACCCGCCGCAGCCGACTTCGTGCAGCCGCCGCCGCCTACTCCGTGCAGTTGCCGCCGCCGCTAACTTCGTGCATCCGACGACGATGACTCTGTGCAGCCCACAATGATGACTACGTGCAGTCGACGAC